ATAGCATCCTGTCATTTTAACATTTAATGCAATTAATCCTGTAAATTGGACATTCTCAGTGCTTTGCACCTGCAGCATCAAAGCTGTGTTCTATATTTATGAATTTGCTAAATTACTGCTAGTTCTAAGCTCCTCGAACTGGAATAAACCAAGTCAGACAGGTATTGAAAGACAAAGAAAAAAAATCACATGAGAAAGCCCAATAAACATACAATCTGCAGTAGATTTGGTTTTAAATGAAAACTCTCCTCACTCCATCTGTTAAGGTGGACAGATTTTTTTCTTTAAGGGGTCACTAATTCATCGGTTCACCCTACAGGTTAGCATTGCATCGAATGCTTTCTCTTTATAAGTAAATGATGATGTTCCCAGGTAAGGTGAGAAAAGAGTAATACATAAAATATTAATGCAATCATTCTACATTACTCATCTCTCCGGCACTAAAATGGGTTGAACACATAATAAAATTAACAATAAATGTTTCTTTCTAAATTTAATTGATTGTAGGAATTGAGTTATGGGGGTTACTGGAAATCTGGTGGAGATCAATGGGACACGCATTATAATCGTATTCAGAAATAATATAGACTTTAGTGCACAAATTCTACTAAGCAGAAGGGAGGAGGCAATGATGATATGACTAATGAGAGCTGAGTATACAAATAAAGACAAAGGCAGGTGAAATGAGGTTGCATACAGAGTCTGCTGGGAATAATTACTTTTACTGGCAGACTAGCTGGTTGAATACTACATCAGAAATTGTCTAAGCTGACAGCGTGTCTTGCACAGTTAAATGTTAATGACATGGTATATTCTAACATATAAGCTAAAATAGTGTATTAGTAAAAATACCAGCCTCAATGAAACGATAGGTTTTAGAAGGTAACTTTGCTTCTTGTCAAATGGGGCTAGCTATACTTACTGATACTCAGTCTAGATGAGTGTACTTGATTTGCAAACTGTGTGGGCCAAACTCATTTTTTTGCTTTGTGACCTAACTCAGCCATAGCTACTGATCACTAAGTTAATATAATAGGTATATTGTGTGGATATTCATTTATTGATAAACATTACCATTATATTGCAAAATTAAAAAGGACAATCCACTGCCCAAATTAAAAAAAAATATATAAAAATCACTTTAACGTAGATATACTTCCACTGAAAACAAGTATTTAGTTATGTATTCAGGGCTGCTATCAGATATTTTTGGGCCCCTGACACAGCTCAAGGTCTGCCCACCCTGAATCCGCTCACAGGGCAACCCTTTGAGTCCGCACACAGGGATGCAGTGTGTGTGTGTGTGTGTGTGTGTGTGTACTGATTGTGGTGTGTGTGTGTGTATAGTGGATGTAGAATGTGTGTAGTGCATGCAGAGTGCGTGTGTAAAGTGGATTGTACGTTTGTGTAATGTATGAGGTATATATTAGATGCAGAGTGTGTTTGTGTAGTGAATGTAGTGTTTGTGTGTATTAGATGCGGTGTGTACAGTGAATGCAGTGTGTGTTTGTGTTGTGGATGTATTGTGTGTGTATAGTGAATGTAGTGTGTGTTTGTGTAGTGTGTATAGTGTATGTAGAGTGTGTGTTTGTGCAGTAGATGTAGAGTGTGTATATAATGAATGTAGTGTTTGTATAGTGAATGCAGTGTGGGTTTGTGTAGTGGATGTGGTGTGTGTATATAATGAATGCTGAGTGTGGGTTTGTGAAGTGTTTGTGTAGGCATGTCACGTGTGTGTAAAATAGGGGGGACATTTTTCTTTTTTTAATATTTTGTTTTAGTCCCCCCGCCCCTGCTTCTTACCTGGCTAGGGAGGGGGGAGACCGCTGTACTCTGCAGAGGGGGCAACGCCCCGACAGCTGTGGGGCTCGTTAGCGTTAGAGACAAGGGAGCTGCTGGGATGTGAAGTCAGGGTGTGCTTGGCCCCCTCTGCAATGAACAGGTAGCTGGGGGCCCACAGGTACACACACAGACATATATGTGTGTGTGTACATAGGCAATGTGGAGCCCAGAACTTCACCAGCAGTCCAGGCCCCCAGGACCACCGGGCACATGACAAAATAATCATCCCATATATTCCTTAATTAGGCTTAAGTAGTTTGTATACTAATAATCAAAATATAATCCATACTCACCTGGTAAGTTTTTTTTCCCTGACTATTAATCATGGCAGCATCACTTATGGGTAGCACTGCCCCCAACTAAATCAAAATGAGACTGCATGCAAAAAAGGTCTCTCCTCCTTCCATACTGCAGTCCTGTTCTAAAGAAAATACGGGAAAGGTCATTAATGCTGCCATGATTAATAGCTAGGAAAAGAAAATTACCAGGTAAGTATGGACTAAAATATCCATACTATTAATATGGGCTAGAGAATATGGTAAAAGTATGAGAAGACACTGAATTGATACAAAAAGGAAATGAAAGTTGTATTCCTGGCACTAGAGCTCAATCTCTTTAGAGACACCCCTCTTCCCCATACTCCCGATGAATAAAGGCTTAAAAAAACTTTTTTCACTTATCCGCCTTCTCTGATGGTGCTCAATGAGGGAGCGCTAATGCTATTGCCCCACGCATTAGACCTTCTAATAGGAAAGCATTGAATCAATGCTTTCATATAGGTAAAAAGCTGACGCAGAGCGTGAGGATGTCCAGCGCCATTTTCCAGACCAAAGTTTTTTTTGGGTACAGGACCCAAACTGCACTGAACCCAAATCACTTCAATGAGTGCCTATAGTGTCCCTTTACATTTTATTATGAAACATCATTGTTCCCACAAATGAACCCATATGACCCTTCAAGATACCACAGATCTCTTAGCTATCCAGAGAAGCTTGTCAGCTGAATCCAGTGTCTGTTTTTTTTAAATCTCTGAGGCTTTCAATAAGGTGCTCTCTTCTGACTTCTCTAGAGATGTCTTCTTCTAAATTATCCTGCTAGACCTTAACAGCTTTGGATAAAGTGGACAGGGCAATTGCCAGATGTAAAGCTGAGCCAAGAGACAAATGGGCTGTAACGGACAGTTTTGCACACAAGGGGTTAAAACCATTTAGGCGATCGTCCCCTTTCAGAGATGCAGGCACAGCTACTGTAGAACACCAAACTCCCGAACCACAAATAAGGGAATGCTCCAATCTCCCGAACTGCATACAATATAACACTCCAAACTCACGAACTAGAACCATACGAATAGCTGCTAGCAGACGAATAGGAAAAGCATCCAAGCGGCTTACACTCCTAGCAATCAGTCTCTATCAGCATTCAGTAATTCCCCCCCAAATACGAGACAAGGCTCCATGTTTTGGGTCAAGTCTGTTTTAATGAGGGCTGCCTGCCCAGTATTTATGCAGGTCTCCCACCTGGTGGACACTCCACCAGGGGACCAAATGGGAGACTGTGACAAAAGACAGACAATCAGCCAAACAGGACACACAGTCACATTATATTCCCACAATGCATCCTGGCTTCCTCCCCTCTGCCCTGGAGATAATTGAGAAGTAATTAAATTATCTCCCAGGACAAAGGCAAATCGCCATTATGCACGTGGGGATACTAAAACATGAATTACTGTTAAAATACAATATGTGACACACGTTACAATAAAACTATACATTTAACATGTTCCCAGATAGCTCGGGTCTGAGCGCACATTATTAAGCAAATGGCGCTCAGACCACACGAATACAGTTCAATCGCCATGGAGCCAAAGTCTTTACAAAGTCAGTTCTCATACGAATGAGCTCCATGGGATTCCTATCTGGGGTATAGTGTAGTCAGGCATGACTACCGAATACCGGGCCGTTCGTGTACTTCCACCGAACAAGAAGGGAGGTTGGTGGCTTCAGCGGTGTTCGCGCAAAACTGTGTCCGTTTTTAGTTCCATGAGTTAAGCGCTGAACACCGCTGTGCGTTCGCGTGTTTAAAATGGCCACGACCTCGTGTTCGTTATACAAATGGCGGCCACCGAGTATTGGTCAATTAAGCTGCGGTTAATGGCAGCTTCTGGGAGGCTAATTGCCGGCACACTACAACTCCCAGGTGGTCTAGTCATTCGTGCGGTTGTTCGGTAGATTGAATCTACCGAACACCGGGCAGAAAAGCACGAATAAGTCTTTTCTGCAGGGGAAACAATGTCTTTTAACATTGACTGAATGTATGAGTGTGTGTCTGTGAATGTATGTGTGTGTGTGTGTGTCTGAATGTGTCTGTGACTGTGTGTGTGTGTGTGTGTACGCATATATGTATATTATTTTTTTTGGGGGGGTGGGAATCTTGGGAGAGTTTATTCCACATTATTCCACAGGACTTGTACCCAGCTGGCAGGGGAGATCTCCCGATCTCCCCTGTCGGCTCACGCAGAGCCAGCGCTATCTGAGTGCCGGCTCTGCTCTAAGCCTCCATGGGCCGGCGGGGAGACCAAAGATCTACCTCACCGGCCCACAGCTGCATGGAGGGAGGCAGGAGAGGACCCAGGGAGCTCTAGACAGAAGCTCCCCAGGTTCCTCTCGTGATATCTGAGCGTTGCCACGGCAATGCTCAGATCTCGCGAGAGTTAACTCTAGCCCCACAGGCTAGAGTTCACTCTCCACTGGACCACCAGGGATAGCACATGGCAGCAAGGATTTACTAATCTGCACCCACCTCCACAATCCCTCCAAACATACAGCACACACACACATAAAGCTCATACACACACAGTACACTAACCACACCCTCACAAACACACACAGCACCTTTAAAAAACACAACACCCTCACACACAGCACACAAACAGCACCCTCACAAATACACGACACTCACACAAACAGCACCCTCACAGGACAAACACACACACACAAACACCCTCACACACAAACAGCACAGTCACAAACACACACAGGACAAACACACACACACAAACACCCTCACACACAAACAGCACAGTCACAAACACACACACACAAACACCCTCACATCACACCAACAGCACCCTCACACACACATCACACTAACAGCACACACAGCAGTGTATGTGTGTGTGTGTATATATATATATATATATATATATATATACATACATACATACACACACACACACACACACACACACACACATATACATGCGGCGTGTGTTTGTGCTTTAGGGTGCACACCCTAATGCAATAGGCTGTGCACGCCTATGGATACACACAGTATGTATCTCTGTGTCAAGGTGTGTGTATCTGTGTGCCAGTCTGTATCTATGTGTCAAGGGGTGTTTGTGTGTGTATGTGTGTGTGTGTGTGTGTCCGTGTTTGTATTGTCAGTCTGTATCTGTGTGTGTATTATCTGATACACACACTGGCACATAGTGGCACACAGATACACATACTGACACAGATACACACACCTTAGCACACAGATACACATACCGGCACAATTATACACACATTGGCACATGAACACACACTGACAGATACACTGACACACAGATGCACACTAGCACATACACACACTGACACACACAGACACACAAATAGATATAAAAACACACTGACACATAGATACACAAACTGGTACATTCACACACAGACGTTTATACTTGCAGTCACCCTCCTGTTCACTTATCTTTTTTTCTTCAGGCGGGGGACTTTCTTCAGTGCTGTAGGCTGCTGGCTGTGGATGGTGTGCCAGGTCGGCAGCTGCTCACTCCCCGCTGTGCTCTCTCTCCCTCCTGCCAGCGCGCTCTGTCTGGGAGGAAGTGCTATCACTTCCTTACAGCATCCCATACTACTGGGGCCGCAGCGCCTGACTGGACCCCTGTTTAGCATTACCCATCAGGTGGCCCTAAATGCTCGGGCCACCGGATGGTCAAATCACTGCGGAACCCCAAATTTGTTCTCGCAGAACCATAGGATTCTGCAGAACACCAATTGGGAAACGTTGCAGTATGGAATTCTAAACAATGATATGTGTATTTTGTATGTACTTTAAAACTCTAATATTATGCCTATAATTAGTATAAACAAAGAGGAGATAATATCAGAGCCACTTAGGGAAATGTGACAAGGCTGCATGGTTTATTATGGTTGACAATCCGTCCTGAGGCTTGAGATTTTTAAAAGTATTATCTCATATTTTTATTGCAGAGATTGTAATGATAAACACAAATACTACATTGCCAGTCTAGAAATCATATCCTAACATATATACTCCACTAGCACAAGGAGTATATGAAAATGTTACTTAGCACTTGCAGGGTGCTTCCATTCTTAATTTCACTTGTCAGAACATATTTACAGTGTGTGTTTCTATATGGAAAGTAAGTTAAATGTTCAAATAAAACATGTTTACATATACCAGGTTCATTTTAAATAAACCATAAATGTATTCCATTTGCCTTGAATTACCTGTTTTGCATTTTTATTTTTAATTTAATATTTGAATCCAATGTCAGAAAAGCATTTCAGTATAATCACTTTGATATGTCATCATGTCTTGCAAGATACCATTAGAAGGAAGTAGCTGTTTATGCCCTAAATATAGCTGCTGTGTGGATGCCTTTCTATATCCCAGGTGGAAAGTACAGTGATCTATCTGATAGACACCACAAGCTTAATACTAATCAGGCAATGATGCAATTCATGTTTACACTTCATCAGTTGTAAAAAATCAAAACTAAGGTGTCTCTAAATTCTACATAATGATCCCTTTCTCATTAATTTAAAGTTTTATGGAGTAATAAACTCAATTCATATGTAAAAAAAAAAAAAAGATTATAGGGCAATTTTTTCTTTGCCAATATTTTATTAATCTGACTGAGTCCCAAGGAATGTATGGACAGTTGCAAGAAATTCAGCATAAGTTAGACTAGGGCTTTCCAAACTTTTATGGGCCAAGACCATCTTTTTAAAATTGTAATTTTTCAAGACCCACTTGCTTTTAATGCATATTTTAAAAATAAACACCATGGCAATCCACTTTAGAGGCATACATTTGGCACACCATGCAATCCGCTTTAGAGGCATACAATTGGCACACCATGCAATCCGCTTTAGAGGCATTCAATTGGCACACCATGGCAATCAGCTTTAGAGGCATTCAATTGGCACACCATGGCAATCAGCTTTAGAGGCATTCAATTGGCATTATGGCAATCAGCTTTAGAGGCATACAATTGGCACACCATGCAATCCGCTTTAGAGGCATTCAATTGGCACACCATGGCAATCAGCTTTAGAGGCATACAAATGGTACACCATGGCAATCAGCTGTAGATGCATACAAATGACACACCATGGCAATCGGTTTTAGATGCATAAAATTGGCATATCATGGCATTTTTAGAGGCATAATTTGGTATATCATGGCCGTTTGAGAGGCATAAATCAGGGATACAGAACAAATGAGCACACTATTCACTGAAGTGAAAGTCATGAACTGCCTGGAAATACCAGTACCACCTTTTATTTGTCTCACTTGTTTGACATCATGTTGATGTAACTATCTCACTTTATCTATACTATTCTCCTATGCCTGTCTAGTTAGTTTTGAATGGAGAGAGGATGCTTCTAATATACTTTTGCCTTGTACTCGCAGGCAATAGAACAATCATAAACTTGACGTATCACGGCAGTTTTAGAGGCAGAAATTTGGCACATTTTTTTAGAAGCATACAACTGCTTACTCACAGATTTAGAAGTGCTGTATCCCACTTATCCAGGCACCTTACATTAATTATCCCAGTGGTGGAACTAATATAGAGAGGGCCCTGGTGCAAGCATGTTTTCTGGGACCCCCTCTAGTGCAATTGTGGCTCAAAGATAGATCCCGATATGTCAGAGAACTTCAACAATGCTATGCCAGCTGGGGATCTACCATATGCCCATCGTTGCAGGGTTATATTTGTTAGCAGTGTTTGCGCATTTGAATGTAAGCATGTTTTTGTATTAAGTATATGTGTGCATGTATGGGTGTATTTGTACGTACTGTTGTCGTTGGCTTGTAGTGGTGTACTTGTTTATAATGTTTGCGTCTGAATTTATTGCTGGACCTTAAATGCAGGTGTGATTTTTGTGCGTATTGTTGGTGTTTGAATGAAGGGGTGTTAGTATATAACTTTTGTGTTTTAATACAGGAGTGTGTTTGTATGTAATGCTTGAGTTTGATTGCACTGCGTATGTAGTAGATGCAGTGTATGTATATTGTGTATAAAAAATATACATATACACAATGTGTGTTTGAATGAAAGCCTGTTTTTGTATGGAGTATGTGTGTGAATGTTGGTGTTTGAATGCAGGTGTGCATTTGTGTGCAGTGTACATACACAGACACACAAATACACACACTGACACAGCAATACACAGACACACACACTGCCACCTAGTTTCCCGCATACAGATACACAGAAACTCATCTACACAGATAGATGCCGACACACAATACATACACCCTGACACAAAAGGACACACAGATACACATACACACAGAGACAGGAGGTGAGGGTGACAGTGTGTGGGGAGGTGAGGATGACAGCGTGGGAGGGAGTGTGTGTGCTGGTGACAGTTTGGGAGGGCAGTGTGAGTAAGGGTTACAGTGTGGGGGCAGGGTGAGCAAGGGTTACAGTGTGGGGGCAGTGTGTGGGCAGTGTGAGAAAGGGTTACAGTGTGGGGGCAGGGTGAGAAAGAGTTACAGTGGGGTGCAGGTAGAGAAAGGGTTACAGGGGTGGGGCAAGATGAGAAAGGGTTACAGTGGTGTTGCAAGATGAGAAAGGGTTACATTAGGGGGGACAGGAAAGAAAGGGTTACATTGGGGGGTGCAGGGAGAGAAAGGGTTACAGTGGGGGTGCAAGGAGAGAAAGGGTTACAGTGGGGAGGCAGAGAGAGAAAGTGTTACAGTGCGGAGAGGGAGGCAGGGAGAGAAGGGGTAACAGTGTGGGGAGGTGGGCAGGGATAGGAGGGGTTACAATGTGGGGAGGGTGGCAGGTTTAGAAGGGGTTACAGTGTGGGGAGGAGGGCAGTGAGAGGAGGGGTTACAGTGTGGGGAGGGGTGCAGGGAGAGAAGGGGTTACAGTGTGGGGAGGGGGGCAGGGAGAGGAGGGGTTACAGTGTGGGGAGATGGGCAGGGAGAGAAGGGGTTACAGTGTGGGGAGGGGGACAGGGAGAGAAGGGGTTACAGTGTGGGGAGGGTGCAGGGAGATAAGTTACGGTGTGGGGGGTGGTGGCAGGGTGTGGAGGACTGTGTCCTACCTTTGTTTTCAATATAATAAATTCCCTGGTGGTCCAGTGAGTTACCCCTCCGGTCTGCAGCACCACCAGGTGCAGAGCTGCAGACCATGTGATAAAAGTTTGCACCCAGAGTGTTGCCATGGTAATGCTCTGGATGCTCACAAGATCTCTCACGCAGTCTGGAGCTACAGACCGGAGGCACTGGTCAGACTGATTGAACACCTTCCTGGTGTTGGGCCAACGGTCATGGACCTGAGGGCCTGACTAATCAGTCTGCCTCACCGTCTCCTAGGTCCTCAGCGACCCTGGAGGCGTGGGTCAGCCAACCCATTGGGAACCACCCGGCGACCCACCTGTGGTTCGAGACCCACACTTTGGGAAACCCTGAGTTAGACAACTATGAGAAAATGTAAAGATAAAAAACAGCTTGCGCCAAATGTTTGTGTAGAGATGTTAAACAGCACTAATAATATAAAGTAGTAAAATAGTACTTACAGAATAGCCTCTAATTCGATTGATAGCAGATTTCTTGATAGGGAAAGTGAAGTACAGCAGGCATTATAGTGTGTTTACCAGTTTATGTGATATGAAATATTATATGATATGAAATGACAAGGATGACAAAATAGTGTAATATCATATATGACACAGGGGAGGAATAAGGTAACAGAAAATGCACTCACAAACAAGAAGCTATATATTAGCTCTCATATATCAGCATCTGACAATACAATCCTTATCACGGGATATATAGTAGGTAATCACTCAGAATCTTTTCAGGAACACAGATATGAATAATGACACCTTCACAACCTACGCGACTCACATGAAATATAAAATTAGAGAAAAATCAAATCGTATAATCCAATAAAACAGCTAAAGGGTAAATTAAAAGAATATAAAAATAT